TAGTATTTTCTGTCCTGTGTGGGACTGAGCCCCAGGGACAAGGTACCTTAGCACATCCATGGCCAGGGGAAAAGACCACTGCCAGGTCAGGAACGGAAGATCTGACCCATACAACACCTGGTGTCTGTGATGACCTAGCAAAGCAGGTTCGAGCTCCACTGTGTTCCCGGGTTCCAGCATGGGGGACCAAGGGCTGCCCTCACCATTCCGGGTGCCTCCTTCCCCAAAAGGCAGGGCTGTGCACTCAGGTTCCACCACCAAGAAGGATAGCCCATGGGTATCAGCCGTGTCTGGGCTCAGACCTCACCCACTCCCAGCCAGCTCATCCCGGGTCAGGACCATGCCCTGGGAAGCATGGAGGTGTACAAGGACACCTGCCAGACTTGGGTCCCAGGACATGGAGTCTGTCCCCACCCTTCAACCTGAGTGGCCTACCAGAGATGCTGACACTGTCACATCGCCCTGTTTTGCAGGACCAAAAGGACCCAGAGCAATGCAGAATTCCTATTTGGTCTCTTCCTTTTGTCCCCCACTTCCCCCTTTGTTATGTCTGGAATGTAGAGGTGAAGGCTAAAGCCCCAGCAGCCTTCTTGAAACCATAGGGACAACCTATAGGAAGGAAGTCCATGCTAAGAAGAGCAGAGCAGGTAGGTGAATGATCCTTGCCCGGCAGAACTTGCTTCCTGGGTCACAACAGACAACAGAATGGATGCCTTTTTGTGAATGGGAAAAAGCAAGCATGACCTTCTTTGGAGTTGAGGCTAGTTTATAAATCTCCCTTCGTATCTAATCGAGTTGGTAGAAATCTCTTCTGTAAGTGGCTTACCCAGTGGAAACAGCTTTAAAGTGAATCCATCGTCTGCCACTCATAAAACCCTGGTCTTTTTAGCACAAGAAGGATTCAAAGTCACAATCACTTTGGTTCTCTCTTGTAGGATGGTCTATCCTGGCAACAAAAGAGGTGCAGGAAGGCCACAAGAGAGAAGAGTGACCCAAAACACAGTCACAAGCTGGCTGACTCCTTAGAAGCCAGCCTGGGCCCCCCACTAGTGGCCCACACTGCTTTCACCTCCCTCGCTGGATTCTGCTTTCCAAGACTCCATAGGCAAGCCTACCCCTACCACTCTATCCACAGACCAGGTACAACACTGACCTTGTCCTTGGCACCTGCAGGTGGAGAGGGCGCTCTGGATGCCAGGGCATCAGGAAAACCCCTCACACGAACACCGTGGTGCAAACAAGCTCCAAGGCATGCCTTCAAGGTTCCACTCCGACAAGCCAGGGTTAAAGGTGGCTAGCTGGGACTGGGGCAATGGCTCAACAGGCCTATCCTGCACCTATATGGACACCTATATGGCATCCATATGGACACCAGTTCGTGCCCTGGCTGCTTCACTTCTCATCCAGCTCACTGCTTATTACCTAGGAAGGCAGTAGAGGATAGCCCAAAGTCTTGGGACCCTGTATCCATGTGGGAGACCTGCAAGCAGCTCCTGGTTTTAGATTGGCTCATCTCCAGCTATTGTGGCCATTTGGTGAATGAACCAGCAGACAGAAGATCTTTCTCTCTGTCTCTCCTTCTCTCTGTGACTCTGATCTGCCTTTCCAATAAAAATAAATAAATCTGGTGTGGTGTTTGTTTGTTTTAAGGTAGCTGGCTGCTCTCAAGGACACTGAGCTGCCTCCTACAGACCCTGGTGGGGCCCCACCCAGCACAGTCTGGAATTACCTAGAGAATCGCCAAGGCCAGGCTATTTCTGTGTGTTTGCTCTGGACGTGATCTCTGATGTATCTCATTTAGTGCTTTCCATCTGAATCATCTCCATGTATTGCAATGATGTCCAGTAAGCAGGGTCCAGATGTTTGGATGTTGACTGTGACTGGCTTCAGACCAGGGAGCCTGAGCACAGTCTCCAGCTGCTTGTTGGAGCATGCGATGCTCTGGCCCGCAGCCTCCACCTACATGGATGACATGCAAAACCCGCCTGGTCTCCTGCTCTTCCTGCCTGCGTGGGAACTCCTTAGAGCAGCTGCCACCCACCATGCTGGCTAACCGCTGTGGCATCCTGGGACCTCCAGACAGTTGTGTCAACTGTGGTCCTTCTTCCTCTGCATCCCAGGGTAGGCACGGTATGTGTGGTGGGGAGAGAACAACGAGAAGGAAAGCCAGAAAGTTTCATGCTTGTGATTGGGGCGAAGTATAGGGGGAGTTACTCTTCTCGGGGTGCAGGAGGAGGGGGAAGATGCAGTGAGGTCATCTCGAAGCCCACACATTCCTTCAGGGAAAGCTGGGGAGCGTGGCACATTGCCCAATCCCCTTCCTGCAGGTACAGCATGTGGATGGCCCAGAAGGTCAGGGGCATGCATTCCTTGGGGAGCCCCCAGAGGACAGAGGGATCCCAAGAGAGACTGTCGGCTATCTGCTTTGCTTTCTCACTTAGTCAAGTGTGACCTGGACAGTCACTGAGTCCCCTTGACACTGCATGGATCATGAGGTTTCCAGGACACTGAGACATTAAGAGACTTGCACTACTACAAAGTAGTACTACTACAAAGAAACAGGCCTTGTACATGGTAGCCAGTGACAGGGATTCCCATCAGTACAGCAGGAGGCACCCACAGCCCAGGCAGGGGTGTGGATAGGAAGTGCAGGGCAGGAGACACAAGCCCCACCCCAGCCAAGGGCACCCTGTGTTTCTGCAGTAGACACGTATTGCCTAACTCCTGCCATGAACATCCCTCTCTTCATCATCCACCATGCACACGTGTACCATCAGCTCCTCCCAGCGGATGGGGCAGCCCAGCAGGCAGCAGACTCGGTTAATACATGCTCCATCAGCATCTGTGCACCTTGCTGCACCTCTTTTCCCTGATAGCATCACTTCACCCTCCGCCTAGGCTTGTCTCTCAGAGCCGCTAAGAGGTGACTCGATGACTCCCAGCACCCACACATCTGCCTGAATTCCACGCGGAAGAGCACCTTGGATGCTGTCACAGGTACAAAACTGCCTCCTAGACACACTTCACAGCCGTGCTCACGGAGGCCCTTAGAGACAGGGCCAGAAAGGGGCACCCATCTGAGATGGGTGGGGGGAGAGCCTGGGGTAGTGTTAGGGGAAAGCGGATCCACAACAGGCTCCCTGCTGCAGGCCCCGGTCCTCACCAAGGGGAAACTTCTCAGAACACACAGGCAGGGCCCTCAGCCACAGAATTTTGCAATGGAAACCACCTGGGGTATGGTCTGGGCAAGGGCTCTGCTGGCCACTGGGGTTCCTGGAATTCTGTGGGAAGAGCCAACTGTTGTCTACGTTGGCATCTCAAATTCTTTCTTGGGAGTCATGGAGACAACTCAGGGGACCACAGCCTGAATGCCTTCAGAAGGCAGACTCATGAACCACCATGCTTAAGGGTCCAGACCGACAGAGGCCCTGTTCTCAGGGCTCATCAGGTGCCCATGGCAGCCTGGCAGGGTGTGGTGGAGCCCATGATGGGCCTGGTCTCTCACTGGGCTCTGTGGCATCAGGGTGTGGCCCCAGAATGTTTGATGTGGAGACCTTGGACCCCTCCCATCCCCACTCCACACCCCTGGAACTTGAAGGACAGGGTGGGGGTTGGTGCAGGTGGGACTGTCCTTGCCACCCCTTGAACCCCTGCTCTTTCCTCTTGAAAACTTAACTTTACATTTTGTCTCCTTAGAAGGGCAAGGCACCCAAGAGCTCTCTGGCTACCCCACACTTCCATTTGTAATGGACAGAATTTTTCCAAGCCCCGTTGTCCCACACACACCACACTGGCTTCTATGTCCCTGCCACCAAGGACTCGCCTGCCCAAGCCCATGGCCCCTGGTGACAGAAACACACACGAATAGATCACCCGGAGCCTGCACCCGCCACCCCGTGCCACCTTAACCCCTCTATACACTCTGCATTTCCCATCTCCTCTACTGTGTGTGCATATCCAGGCTGCCAAGAATCAACAACAGAAAATGCAGAAGGAAAAAAAGAGAGAGAAAAAAGCTGATTTGAACCAAAGAGCCACCAGCCACGTCCCCCTGCCTGCAGGCTGCAGTGAGGGGCAGATCCAACAGCCGCCCAGCCGACCCATGGCTCGGGGCTGCTCCAGTTTTAGCCATGGGGAGCTGACTCATCATTCACCCAGCAAGCCCACGCACCCAAATGACTGTACTGAAAAAGCTTCGCGTCATGCCCTGCCCACTGATGTGCTGCTTTTTAAGCAAATTCGAAAAATGTTTATCATAAGGTATTTATGACATTTTAACCGTTTCATTTACAGTAACTACAACGACATAAAAAAAAGTTTCCTGTATTTTTTTACTTGACAGTAAAGCTAAGCTTCATCAGAATAGTAACAGCTTGAGAAACACGCTGGAGGTCAAGTTAGGCCTGCCTGAATCCACCCCACCCCCTAACCTGCACCTCTGCTTGCCTTAAGCCCCCACAGCCCCAGTACTCCAGTGTCTGATTTTCTTTCTGACTTCCCCACAGTTTGAGGCTGTCTGCCAGCAAAGGTGTAAAATCAAGTGCTGGAGCCATTCAGACACAAAATTCTGCCTTTCCCTATTGTATTTCTTGTCCCGGTTATGGGGTAACTTGGACCACACACACCAGAAGCTATCTCTGCTGTAACTCTGAAAAAGCGGAAGCCAGCGGGACCTCAGCACCCTGACTTAGCAGAGCCAACCCCCTCATCTCCCACCTGCTACAGAGGATACAGGGTGGGCGGGGGAGGGAGCATTTTCCCGCCAATGCCACCATCTCCTTCAAGTCAACTCTGACAGACCCCTCCCACAGTCACGGTGTAGTCCAGGACCCCCTCTTCTTAAAACGACAGCTCTTCCAATTCTGCACCAAAAAACAAAAAGACTGTCCACAACCCACTCCAGCAAAGCCCAGGACTTGCAGCCCAGCTCAGACTCACGCAAACTGCAGAAATGATCATTAAAAAAAGGAAAATATATATATATATATAAAGAAACATACCAGGGAGAAGCTGGCAGCTCCGCCTTCCCAGGAACCGTGCTGTGAAGATCCGCAGACACGCATCAGCCGTGACACCCTATAATTGCCATGTCCCTTGGACACTTCAACAAGCACCAGCCATCCAGTCACTTGGTTTCCTCCATTCCCAATGATGTCCACACAATCAAGACTCAAAAAAAAAAAAAAAAAAAAAAAAGGCGCACACCTCATTGGAACGAGATGACTCATGCTGACTCAGAACCGCCACTTCCTCTCCCGACATTCTCTGCATTCTTGCGAGCTGGGCTGGTCCTGTTCCCAGGGTCTTTGCACTCCTTCCGGGAATAGCAGCCTGCCTGTCTCTGGCCAGGAGAGTCGCAACGCTGACCCCGGCCCTGGAACCCAAAGATCACCTCCCCAAGGGGGAAATGCTTTCGTTTAGGAGACGCAAGAGAAACTGGGAAATTAAGGACACTGGAAAACAAAAATGCATGCGCCTCCGGTGCATTTCCAGTGCCCATCCGCACCGCAAGCTTGCGTTGCCAAGGCTCGGGCAGTGCCTTTGCAAGTCTTTCAGGGAAGGACCCGAGTCTTTCAGGCATTTTGATGAGCGTTATGTCAGTGCGTGTCATCCTTCTGTCTGTATTCCCCTGACCTGGTGAGGCATACATTCTCCCATCCTCATCGCCTCGATGCTGCTCGTGGACCTGTGGCCTGCTTGGAGGCATAGGTGACTGACGACTTTCCTCGGCATCCTTCCGACTTGACGATGTGCTAGCTGTCAACCGTCTCATGGCAAGGACTTACACGGAGGCGGAGTAACCTGACTGTTAGAAAGACTTGTGGATGAATGCTTCCGGCCGAGAGCTCAGAGCAACTTCTCCCTCCCGGGTTTTCGTTTGAATGAAGCAGAGGGGCGGGGCCGTCTTGCACAGCCTCTGCATTTTTTAAAATATGGGAAGCACCGCCAGAGGGACGGCGGAACCCAGGCGGTGCCCAGCAACCTCGTGACAAACCACGGGGCGGGGCGGAGCGGAGTGGGGGTTGGAGGGATGCTGCCGTGATTGCATTCTCAGAGGCAACACATCGGTTAGGCGTGAGCCTGGGGACCCTGAAAGCTTTTTCTATCTTTTTCAGATCGATTTATTTGAGAGAGAAAGGGAGAGAGGTTCACTCCACAAGTGACCACAGCAGCCAGGACTAGGCTAGGTTGAAGTCAGGAGGCAGGACTCAATGCAGGTCCTCCACGAGGGTGGCACGTGAGCCCTCACCCGCTGCTTCCCAGAGTCTGCATTTATACGCAGCTGGAGTTAGGAGCCAGAGCCAGGATTTAAAGTCAGGTAATACATTGGCACCTCAACAGGCTCAACGCCCATCCCTGAAAGTTGCTTTTACTTAGGACTGGTTCATGTCCAACCAGGTCCGTTAGCAGACAGAAAATGCCCATTCATTCTCCAGTTCTAATCTTAGAGCCAGAAGTCAGGACATTTCCTGTCAGACAATGCCATGTGCTCTGAGCTCCCCATTTGGCCAGACCTTACTTCCTGCAGTTTTGTTCCTTTCCAGAGCAGTACAGAGCCTGCCAGTTGTCTGCTTTCAGGAACATCTTGTGGCACCATTGACCCAGTATGCTCTCTCTAGGGAGATTTGCAAGGGATTGGGAGTTGGGGGGTCGGGACCGCAGTCCCAGAGCTTTAAGGTCTCAAACAGGCCTATCAGCAAGGTAGTGGGAAGGACCTGAGTACCTCAAGTTCTGCCCCAAGTCCTTCCCCAACAGGGACGAGGCATGACCACAGTACACAGACAAGCAAGCAGGCCACCCCACACAGAGATCCCCATAATGAGTGGAAGAGAGAGTTGCTTACGAGGAGGCAGTGGTGGCCAGAGAAGAAGCAGCAAGCATGGTCAATGGTGAGAGCAGAGCCCCTTCCCATGTGATAGGCGTTCTGTAAGTTAGGGGAAGTAGACATCCTAGAGTGATGTCAGAGGACAGGGATCACAGTGCAGCTCCAGCAGAAATTCCAGCTCCTGTGTTCCCATCTCTCAGTCTGGTCTCCCCACCACAGAGGTAGCACGAATCCTACCCACTTCCCCACAGAATAAAGGGACAGAACCAGGAGCCTGTCCATGATTATTGGGCCCTTTCCAAACATATGCTGGATTGCAGATACATATGCTGGAGTCGTGATGGGCTTCCCCACATCCTGCCAACATACCTAAGGCTTTTCTATTCATGTGCAAAGCAACTTGAAATCCCAGCTTGGAAGCCACCCAGCATCACTTCTAATGAGTGCAAAGATTTGATCAGAAGAGCACAGGGGACATTTCCCCAGGCACACACCGCGATGTCGTGACATTTCCTCATGCATGGCTCCTCCCACACAGGGCCACGGGTTTCAGAGGCCCTGAGATGCCTTCAAACATTGGAACCTGGAGGTATCTCTGACATCCTCCCATTCGGGAGGAGATTTCCAACCTTCATTTCAAATCTCCCCCTCTCTGCCTAGCCCCTCAACCAAGCTCCCTTCTTCTAAGATTTTCCGCTCGATCAAATGGAGACCCTTGCTCTCCAGCATCTTGCTATCCCTGGGCTTCACACACAGGCCTAAGTCTTTCATCCCGATTACATCATCCCTGCTAGAGACCTGGTAGGCGGTCCCATATGCATTCCAGTCCTCTCCACCTATTGCACCCTTGACCTTCAGTCAGCATTGACTTCACTTCCTTGCATAGAACAGAGGCCAACTGAGTCAAACTAGAAGATCCTACTCCCTTATCACTAAGAATGGTTCATAGTGGGACTCTTATGCTACCTTCCCAGCCAGTGAGGTGTGCTGAACTGCACTGCAGCCCAGGACTGCCCACAAGAAGAGAAACAGGGAAGGATGCACAGGAGTCTCCCAGAGGCTCATGCCAGCTTCAAGGTTTCAGGAGTCTAAGACACAGAGTTACAAACAGAAACAACAACTGGAAGAATAAGTAAAGTTGGACAATAATGTATGGTTGCCCAATGTATATACACTGTACTGTACAACTCCTAAGAGTGAATTCAGATGGACCCTCAAGTGCACAATTTTATGTGGAGGATCAGCTGACACCACCGCCAAGACAATGGAAGGGTCCCACAGGCTGGAAGGTGAGGCCAGTCAAAGAGGAATTGATAGAATCTGAGTTCTGCTAGCCCACAGGGGCATTGGAATGAGAAGCAGCCAGAACAGTGTATTGACTCTAAGCACACTGTGGCTCTCAAAGCTCAGGAGGATGGGGTGGGAGAATTTAAGTTGGTGATGCTATCTATAATGTGGAACTGGAACTTGAACTTGATGGTGCACCTCACAGTTCTGGCAGGCCGCTGGCTGAGCTTCTAGCCAGAAAGCACGTAGAACAACGGAAGTCAGCGCCCAGCCCTGGGGGCTTTGCAGATTCAGGTGAAGAAGAGCCAGCAGTGGGGGTGAGGAAGCAGCGGCCGGCTATGTGTGTGGGGGTCACCAGCTGCCGTGAGCATAGCCGGTATTTTCAGTTGAGCTGTTCTTGTGGGTGGGTGCTGCTCTCTCCACTCTCTCCTGATGACTGGTGATACTGAACACCTTTCCCTGTGCGCCTCTGCCTTCTGTAAGTCTGCTTGGAGGGTGTGCCTGTTCGGCGTTTGAACTGCACCGTTGGCTTTCTCACTGTTGAGTTTGTAGAGCTGCCGGATACAATTTTTTTAAGCTGTGGTTTCCCTGTCTTTGGCTGGTCTTCTCATCCTCCTGAACAGTGTCTATTGCAGAGTAAAAGTCTTTCATTTGAGGAAGTCCAATTGATTGATTTCTTTTTGTGGGGGATGATTTTGGTCTCATATCTAAGAAATCCTTGCCTAACCGTAAGTTATGAAGGTTAATTTCCTGTTTTTTTTCTACAATTTTAGTTGTGTGCATTTTTATATTTAGACCTGTTAACCAATTTTACATCAGCATTTTACAGTAGGCGAGTTTTAGATCAAGGTTCCAATTTTGCATATGAATGTAATAACAACACCATTTGTTAAAAAGACTGTTTTCCGCCACTGAATTGCTTTTGGAACATTGTAAAACCTCACTTGGCCTCATCACTGTGTCTCTTTTTTGAGCTTTCTCATCTGTCCCCCCATTGAAATAATTATTTATCCCTAGCCCCCAAACCATACAGTCAATGGCTATAGCTGCATGCTAAGTTTTTTTTTTTAAGATTTATTTATTTTTATTGGAGAGGCAGATCAGATTTATGGAGAGACAGAGAAAAATATCTTCCATCTGATGGTTCACTCTCCAAATGGCTGCAATAGCCAAACTGAGCCGATCTAAAGCCAGGAGCTTCTTCCAGGTCTCTCACATGGGTGTAGAGTCCCAAGGTTTTGGGCCATCTGCTACTGCTTTCCCATGCCACAAGCAGGGAGCTGGATGGACGTGGAACAGTTGGAACACAAAGTGGTACCCATATGGGATCCCCTGGCTTGCAAGGTAAGGATTTAGCTAATGAGCCATTGCACGGGGTCCCATATGCCAAATTATAAAACCAGGTGATGCAATTTCTCCAACTCTATTTCTCTTTTGCAAAATTATTTTAGTTATCCTTTCTTTATTGATGTAGGCATCAACTGTCCCGTAGCTACAAAATTTCTCTGGGATTTAGAAACAATGGCATTAAACTAACACATGGACTGGGGAAGAATTGCTGAGCTGTCTTCCAACCTGTGTGCCCAGGCTCTGCATCTGTTTAAGCCACAATGTATAGTCTTTCTAGCAAGGTGTCTTCTTTTTATGCGAAGCCAAAGTGATCATTACACAGTGTGGCTCTAGCCTTTCTCAAAATGTCCTTTTAATCGTCTTGAGAAAATCCCAAATGAAGTAACCCCTGTAGGTATCGATTTTGTGTGTAGCACTGAGACTCAGTGTCCCCATCGTGCCAGGGTGCAAACTGGGCTCCTGAGAGCAGCCGTGAGCAGCTGCCCACTGCCACCTTTGCTTTTTTAAGGAACTTGTTCTTCTGCTCAGGTCCCCTTGCCCTTACGTCTGTCCTGGGGCTGTTGATCAACATTCTGAGGCCCCCACTTTCTGCTTTCTTTCAGTAAGACTTCACCTGCCAACTGCTGCAGCCCCCTCTCCAGGACTGACAAGGGCTCTCAAGGCAGGTGCTCTTCCCCTCAGTCCCTCAGGCATTCCCAGAATTTCACATTCCCTGTCATGGCTGGAAACCCTGGTA